GAAGGACGTGTTTCTGCTGACCTGGGGGTCCATCACAGTGGCTCAGAGCCTGGGCTCTGGGAGCCAACCAGATTGGGTGAGTCATCTCACTTTTCTGAGCCTACTTTTCTTCCGTAAATGGTATCCATGAGGCAGGTGGCATGGCCATGCCTGGAGAACCCATCCTAGGAGAACCCGTATGTAACTTGCATGAGCCATGGCTGAAACTGGTTGCCATGAACATTTCGAACCTGAGGCTCAGAAGAGTTAATTCAAATGCTTACAGTTTGTATTTAGTACTGCTGGGCCGCAAATTCAGATCTGGCTTCTTTAAGTTTTTTCTTTTGTTGTTATTGTGAGACAGAGTCTCAGGCTGTTGCCCTGGATAGAGTGTGGTGGCGTCATAGCTCATAGCAACTTCCAGCTTGGGCTCCAGTGATCCTCTAACCTCAATGTTTCTATTTTTAGTGGAGACAGGGTGTCACTGCTCAGGCAGGTCTCGAACTCATGAGCTCAAGCAATCTATCTGCTTTGGCCTCCCAGAGTGCTAGGATTACAGGCTTGAGCCACTGCACCTGGCTGTTTCTTTAGGTTTTGAGGACCAAGACCTCCTTACCAGGAACAGTTGTCCCCTGAGAAGTAGAGAGAGGGGCAGCTGGGAGGAAGAGTTTGAGTGCATGAGTTTGGAGTCAGACATCTGGTTCAAATCCTAAGCTTGGCCAGGCGCAGTGACTCACACTTATAATTCCAACACTCTGGGAGCTTGAGGCAGGTGGATTGCCTGAGCTCAGGAGTTCAAGACCAGCCTAAGCAACAGTGAGACCCCTTCTCTACTGAAAATAGAAGAACTAGTTGGACATTGTGGTGGGCACCTATAGTCTCAGTTACTTGGGAGGCCGAGGCAAGACAATTGCTTGAACCCAGGAGTTTGAGGTTGCTGTGAGCTATGACACCATGGCACGCTATCAAGGGCGACAGAGAAAGACTATCTCAAAAAAGCAAAAAAATCTCAAGGCTTGGTGCTCACCAATGTGCAGCCCTGAGCCAGTCACTTAACTCCTCTACGCTCCTGTTTGTTGACAAGACGTGTAAACAGCCATCGTAATGCCACAGTGACCACAGTGCCTAATCCTCCCCTCTAGTCTCCTCCCTCTCCTCCAGTCCCGTGCTCTGGCCTGTCAAAGTCTTGGCAGCTGGACTTACCGTTCAGGGCAGCCTTCAGCTCTTCCTGGCTGTTAGCCGCATGGTACCAGGTGACTTGCAAGCCGTCTCGGTGGCTGATCTGGCCCAGGCTTATCAGATAGTCCAGCATGTCCCCATTGGGGCGGCAGGCCTCCTGCTTACAGCCTGGATGAATGCCAAGGGCACCACCATTACTGTCAATCCCTGTCCCAGCCTGACTTCTGTCCACCCATGCTACCATCCTCGCTGGGCTCCCACTGTGTCTGGCACACCATCTAGCATGAGACGGTGAGAACTGGACTCACCCATATTGCAAGAGAGGGAAATGCAGTCTCCTGGCCCCCACATAGACCTCAGGACCAGCCTGGGGCAGTCAGGAAAGGAGGGTAGGGGAAGATAACATTTACAGAAGGGAGCATTTAAGAGAGACCTTGAAGGATGGGTATAAATTTGGTAGAAAAGAGGGAATAGTTTATTCCAGACAGAACAACGCAACCAAAGGCTTGGCTGCGGGAGAGAGTGGAGATGCCTAAAGGATGGTCAGTGGCCTGGCATGGACGGCATGCAGACACACGGAGTAGGGCAAGACTGGGAGAGGGCTGAGATCGGGGCTCGGACGGCCTTGAATCCAGCGTCAGAGCTGACCATGTACTGAGGGCAGGGGGCATTGTGTTTGGGAAGATCTCCCTGGCAGTGACCAACTGTGGGCTGGTGAGAGGGACTGCATAGGAAGGCCCAGGAACCCCCAAGCAGGGAGTGGGAATGGAGCACAGTGAGGGGAAGGAAGAGCACTCGAGGCTCAGTACTGAGGAGCACAAGCAGGAGGCGGAGGAGGGAGGTGTAGGCTCTTCCCAGGTCCCCATGAGAATGGGGGAGCCCTCCACCAAGAGGGGCTTCAGGGACCACGAGATGTGGGGGAAGGGATGTGCTCAGCTCAGTCTGCTGAGGTTAAAGTACAAGAAGCAACATTCAGGCCAGGTGCCCATAGCACAGTGGTTACACCGCCAGCCACATACACCGAGGCTGGTGGGTTCGACCCCAGCCCAGGCCAGCTATGCGACAGTGACAACGGCAATAAAAAAAATAGCCGGATATTGTGGTGGGAGCCTGTAGTCCCAACTACTTGGGAGGCTGAGGCAAGATAATCGATAATCACTTAGGCCCAAGAGTTTGAGGTTGCTGTGAGCTGTGATGTCACAGCACCCTACTGAGTGTGACAAAGTGAGACTCTGTCTCAAAATTTAAAAAAATAAGAAGGTGGCTCGGCGCCTGTGGCTCAAGCAGCTAAGGCGCCAGCCACGTACACCTAAGGTGGTGGGTTCGAATCCAGCCCGGGCCCGCCAAAACAACAATGACGGCTCCAACCAAAAAATAGCCGGGCGTTGTGGCGGGTGCCTGTGGTCTCAGTTACTTGGGAGGCTGAGGCAGGAGACTGGCTTGAGCCCAGGAGTTGGAGGCTGCTGTGAGCTGTGATGCCACAGCACTCTACCCAGGGGGAAAGCTTGAGACTCTGTCTCAAAAAAAAAAAAAAAAAAAGGAAGAAGAAGCAGAAGAAGCAACGTTTATGGAGGGCATGGGAGGGAGGTCAAAGGTGAAAGCTGAGATGCGATGGTCCTCAGGCAACTGGTGAAGGCAAAGAAAGTTAAAGGGACCTTCCACTGGGCATGGTGTCTTGGTAGCGTTGAAGGGTGGAAGAAGCAGAAAGCCACGGATGGGAACGGAACTAGAGAAGGAGCTAGCAACAGGGAAGCCAAGGGATGCCATGAGGGGTGGCACGTACCTGACTGTGGCAGGGTGAAGATCAGGACCATTGTGACAGTGACCACCAGAGCCACGGTGGCGATGACAGCAATTACCCACTTGGTCCGTCTGCCCGAGCACAGCCGCTGGTCAGCCATGGTGGCCCTGCCACTGGGAATGGGTGGGAGGCAGGAGCCCCCAGCAGCACCTAATTCTCTCCAGATATGGCCAGTTCTGCAGCCTCTTTATGTCCCAGTGAGGGAACAACCCCCAAAGCCCCTCCTCCTGCCCCACCCTGCTCGTCTTCCTCTCAGGAAGATCCTCCCAGGATCCCAACAGGCCAAGCAGAAAATCTTGTCACCACTAAAATGAACTTTGAGCACTACAGGAGGCTACAGAGGACGCTGGGCTGAGCCCCCACCCCTGCCTGGGAATCTGGAGAACAGAGATCAAACACAGCTCCTCTCACATTTCTGCAGAGCAAGTGTATGCCCCTCTCTGGGCCTCATTTCCCCGCCAGTAAAAGGAATCGGCCAGACCTGGTGGCCTTCAAGTTCTTTCTAGACTTTCTGCCCTGCCCCAGGGCATCTTCCATATCAGGCTAGGGGTGGTGAGAAGGACAGATTAGATTTGCCTTAAGGACAAGAATTTTCCTTCTATCCTAGATTGTGACTGATAGATTATCTACCTGAGATTAAAACTGATAGTCCTGACATGCTGGCCTGGGTTACTGCAAGCCACTCCTGGGACAGAGAGTCCATGGGCAAGGGACAGAGTCACCACCTTCCGTAGGAGTTCTGGGAGCCCCAGTGGGGGAGCAAGTTAGAAACTGTCCCTATTCTGAGAACCTTGGAGTTTGATTAGGGTGACCAGATGTCCTGCTTTTGGCAGGCCAGTCCTGATTTTGAACAATTTGTCCTGTGTCCCACAGCGTTTTAAAAAAGTCCCGATTTTTGGAAAGAATGCACGAACCGGCGGGAGAATAGTAAGGGAATATACAGTTTTCGGCTGCCATGTGGCTGTTTTGCCAGGATATGAGTTTTATATTATTTTTGTTAATTTTATAATGTTAACCTGTAATAATAACAAATAATTGTTGAAAAGTGATTACTGAGAACTGCTTATCAAAGTTTGCATTGTTGTCAGGCCCCGTCCCTGCTCCACCCCGCCCTTGTCAATGGTGTCACACTTTACCAGTGTTAAAATCTGGTCACCTGGCTCGACGCCTATAGCTCAAGCGGCTAAGGCGCCAGCCACGTACACCTAAGGTGGCGGGTTCGAATCCCCAGCCCGGGCCCGCCAAACAACAATGATGGCTGCAACCAAAAAATGGCCG